ACACACACACACACACACACACACACACACACACACACACACACACTTGTCTCCTGTCCCATCACGCTCAGCTGTCTCCAATCTCTAGATCAGCTTTAGTCCTTTTACTCCCTCTGCCTCCTTCCGTCCTTCACCCGTGCTCTCCTGCTCGGTGCCTCAAGTCAGCTGATCGGTGCCGAGGTCCAAACAGAGGCTCAGAAGGGACAGAACCTTTTCTGCTGCTACTCTAAGGTTACGAAATGACCTTCAGTGTTATATCAAATGAGCCTGAGACTTGCTCTTCATTATTTTACTCTGCTTTGTTGTTTTTACTGAGCTTACTAAGACACACCAGCTCCCAGCGACACGGAGAGTACAAGAAGCTAAAGAGGACGAATGGTCTTATGCACAATGTGTTGCCTTCAGAGTATCTGTTGGAAATGACCCTCAGCTTTATAACATGCCATCTTTTCCAGATCTGTCAAATTTGCTTTCTTCTTCGTTGCTGAATCAGAAGAGTTCAGTTAAAATGGTTGTTTGGTTTCACACCTGACTTTTAATCAGAGTAAACAATAGTTTAATCAAGTTGAGGTCATTCCAGAAGCTTAATGTTAGCCTGATTTACCCAATCAGTTCTGACCAGTTCTGATGGTTTAGCCAATCATAAACCAGTTCTGATGGTTTATACTCTCAGAAACAAATAGACTTCTCATGAAAATACTGCATTTAGAGGTTAAAGACAACCCACCTTCTCCCACAATGCCAAGGACTTCAAACTTATTCATCACATCACCGAGGGCGGGGTCTCCTTCGGGTGAAACGAGCTCCTCTGGTTTTAACGAGAAGACTCCTGATTGGTCGAGCAGCTGGCGGACTGGACTGCAGACTCCTGATTGGACGGGAGGCTGACGGAGCGAACATCGGACTCCTGGAGAAACATGGCCACCTCCTGACCGCACACCTTCGTCACTCTTCTTCTTTTGATTCGTTCTTCCTCCAGAACTCTTCCAAAAATGTTTAATATTCCTTTAATTTTGACTTATTTTGTGGCTCTGAGAGAACTTTTTTAAATATTTATTTTATTCCAAATCTTTACGTTGTTCTTGTACTTTTATCCAAAACTCCACATGGGTGCATCTGAAAGACAAAACAAAGAGTACAGGTGTGTTAGATGTGCTGTACAAGGTTCACTTATGTAAGTAAATAAGTGCTATATGTTGTCATCATTGTACATTCCCATACAATGATGAAATTGGTTCTATGCATTTAACCCGTCACACCTGAGATACACCCAGGTGGAGCAGTGGGCAGCCATTGAGCGCCAATGGAGCAATTAGGGATTAGGTGTCTTGCTCAGAGACGCTACAACATGTGGGAATGGCTGAGAGTCGAACTGCACCTTTCTGGTCCCACTTCAGCTGCCCTACCTCTACCCCATCTCGGCCGTATGTGGGCTGTATATTCTGCACATTTCATGTCTCACTGTGTCTTCACCGAGTCTGTGTCTTCACTGTGTCTTCACTGTGTCTGTGTCTTCACTGA